CCTGGTAAGTATTTTATTAAGAATTATTACTCTTAGCATCTATAAAAATATACTTTAAAAATCATATTTTAGAAAGCTTCTTTAAGTTGTAACAAGGTTATTTTTTTCCATAATTTTTTTTTGGTGCAACTGGTGCCAATGTTGTTTTTTCCTAGGCTACTGATTTCTGGGATTTTCTTTATCACATTTAGTACATGTAAAATTTTTAAATTCATAGCTTTCGAGTCCAAGTTACTGCAAAAGGCTCAAGTCATGTCAAGATCTACTGTGGAAAAGGAGCCAGATTTTTATTTTTGCCTTCTGGGAAAGTTTATGATAAGGTGAGATAAACATCCAAAATAGTTAAGGTTGTTTATCCTGCATCACCAAGAAGACATTCTTGACATCACTTGTATACAACTGAGCAGGGGAGCTGCTCAATCAGCACTGACAGAAATCCAACCCAGATCACCTGGCCCCAGGGCTTACAGACCTTACTTCAGTGAGATAAAATCTGCTTCTGTTGGGAAAAAACCTGAGCTGTTCACATAGCTCCTCCTGTCACAAGACAAATTTTGGTCCATAAAGACTCCTCCTGCGTTGTATTTCTTTCAGGGAATTATTTCAGGACACTTAAACTCACCTTGACATATATCTGTAGTATCTTGGGGGAGCCTACAAAACAATCTGGTGTCATGCTTGTCCAGTGTAATGACTTGACTACCAGCTTCAACTCTGGAAGTCTTAGACTTGGAGAGCAGGTAACTCAATCCACACAGTATTTTTCAACCAATAGAGAAAATATTCTTATTCTTTTTTGACTCTTTGGTTTAGTGACGTCTGCCTGAAAGTCAACCCTCTGACAGTAGGAGGGAGACATGCTGAATGCAAAGAGATTGGGAAGGCATTTCTCTGAAACAACTGGAAGTACCAGACTTGCAGTGGACTCTTGGCTGTGTTGATCAGTAGTGCTGACATATACTTTGACATCTTACCTATGTAAGGTAAAGCAAGCTCCTAGGTTTGGTAGTATATATATGCTGCTCTTTGTATGATTATTGATTGAAAAGGTTACTCCATGTATAAAAAACTTAATGTGCACTTTAAAAGCTGCTCTCACACCATTCTGCAGAAACAAACCCTATGAACATGCTTTTTCTTTCCCCTAATTCTTATTTTATGCTCATGTAAGTGACAGCCACTTATTGCAGTGAAAATGTGATTTGCAGTAGAGGATGAGTTCTTTGGTGGTAGATGTGCTGGTAGCAAACAGAGGAACACACTAATTATTATACTGGAGTCAAGGAAAGCTGGAGCATGACTCATTTAGGAATGCTTTGTCTTCCCCTAATTGCATAATTACCTTAGAGAGCTCTCTGACCATTTGGCATAAAGGTCACGCCTGTTTCCTCTGAGCACGGGAGTTATTCCTGTGCTACTCCTAACAGGATAGAAAGGGGATGTGAGAAAGACATATGGCCATGGTCCAACTTTTCCTCTATATAACCCAGGAACAGTATTTGTGCACAACTACAAAGTCCTTCATTCTCTGAAATGAGAAAGCCAAAGTTGACCATCAAGTAACATGAATCAGCACTTTCACCTTTGCACTAAGACAGGATCTGTATTGACAGGGATAGTGTGATATTCTGGGTTCTTTGGTGCTGGTACTTGTGACATCTATTTTCTAATAAACAGGATTTAAAAAGAGTTATGAGGTTGCCACAAGAATAGGAGTCTTTCCCATTATACTCGTATGCTGTAAAGCTAGCTTGACTTGCAAGCAAACAAAACAGAGATCTCCCCAACACCTCATTCTCACAAGCAATAAATAAAAAAAAAAAGATACAAGTACTATAAATGCTTATAAAATGCACATAAAAGCAGACGGTAAGCTAAGGAAAGAGACCTTAATATCCCATGAGAAAATGGAAAATGAACTTGCTAGTTATATTAGCATTAAAGGAAGGTTTGTCTGGAGAATTCTTCTGGAACTCTAAGATACTCAACAGTGCAGTTTTCAGGGCTCACCCCAGCTCATGTATAGAACTGATTAAATAAGTCTGCAAGATGCAAAAAACAGAGAAACATATAATTGAACTATATGGATAATTGAAGTAAAGATATTTAAGTCTTTAGTCCCTCTGATGAACTCTTGTTCTGGAGGAAGGCTGGAATCTGTGGTCCCTTTCTTAGCCACTTTATTGATGTTACCCAGTGCCATATTTGGAAGCTAGAATTCTCCTTTGCAAACTGGTGATGTCATCACTATGCAGTCAAACTTTCATCCCACTCTCCTCTTCATTATTTCTATGAATTTTCCATCCTTCACTGCACACTGATCCATTCTCCATTCAAAGCAGTTTAAGAAAATTTTCTCCTGTTGTCCTTACAGCCCACCAGCTACTATCCCCTAACTTATTATGGGGTATATACCCACTGGGCTTAGAAATAGAAAGACTTGCAGCTGCTACACTTCATGCTGACCCTGATGCTGGCAAGCGTGTTTTAGAAATGTACACAGGATGCCAGCCTGGTTGGCCCTGTGAGAGTTGTGCATCAATATGAATCCAAGTGGCCCGATGCATCTGTTAGTGTAACCTTTTGTGTACACTGGCTTCTCAGCTGTGTGTCTGGATTGTCAAGACTATTTAAGATTACTTATTTGTTTAGGGGCTCATGATGGTTACTTTCCGTCTTTTTTTATCAGTGTCTTTTTTTGACAGTAGGGAGTGGTGCAGTTAATTGCTGGCTGAGGCTGCATTAGATTCCACTTTTTGTGAGAAAACTCTGATCAGAGGGTTTCCAAAGGGAAAGTTTCTGCAAGAGAAAAGAGCTGGAAGACAACTCGAAGCCTGACTCTGGTGAGTGGAGCTATTCTAATACAATGAGTGCATCACACTAAAGCAAGCAAAATGTTATGACAAGAGAAAGGAAAATGAAGTATCTTGATTCCTAAACTGAGAGAGAATGGGTCAGCAGTTTACCACAATAAAGGCTAATATCCAAGACAGATTATATTCTCATGGATAAACATCTCAAACACAGACTGCTTTAGAGCTACATGTAACTTAAGCAGCTAACTTCAGGCTCTGGGTCCCAACTGTTTTTGTTATCAAACAAGAAAAGGGTGGCACCTCTGCTCTGTTCATGCTTTTTTGAATAATTTTCCTGAAGAGTTAAGGAGTTAACATGCCATAGTGTGGGTAGCTGCCATAAGGATCAAGGAACACCAGAAAGAGCCTATAATAAAAGCTCTTGCATTAGGATGGTGGCAGAGGAAACTATACAAAAAATGCAGTCCAGGAAAGAGTTCTTAGAAGATGAAGTAGGGATTAAGCCAGAGCCTGTTTTACCATTTGTTAAAACACTCAGTGTATTTGCCTTCATGGGTTCTGCATTCCAGAGGACTTCATGCTGGGTTAATAAAATCACTCTCTCGAACAGGCTTTGGAAATTCAGATAGCCACTGACTGCCCATATGGCATATGCTATTAGACAGCTGTGGGAAGTTGAGGACAAGAAAGGGGAGACATCACCAAAATCTTATGGATATGTAGACATAGAGAGAGACACATGGCTTTGCCTCATAGCAGGAGCTTCCAAAATATGTTCCTCATCAAAATGTCAGGATCCGCTTTAGTTTTTCTTTACAGGAACTGTAATTGGCACTTCTGCTTTTTGTAGGTGATATGCATGTGGTTTGTGTGCGATTTAAACCCTCAGACACTCTGAGCTTAAGTTTCAAGTGCATTTTAAAACAATCAGCACGCTTACAAGAAAAACAGCAAAACACCACATTTCTGTTGCTCACAAACTTAAAGGGAGATTGAGTTTATGCTCTTCCTAAGGGAAGAGCACAGAGAAAAAAACTACATATTTCCCTGTAACCCAATGCCAAACCACTGCTCTCTGTTTTGAGTAGCAAATGCCATTCTTACTGCGTCTAAAAGCCCAGACTCCGTTTCTTTTCTCAACATGTAATTGTGTATTTTGGTACTGCTCTCAAACAGCAATTTACCAGAACAAAGGAGTTATCTTTATGGGACAGCCAGGGAAACACACAAAGAACAGGAAGATGCAGCTAATCTAAATAATGACATTGAAAACAAAATAGCTATTGGGCTATAAATAAACAATATGAAGTAAATATAATTCTTTTTATTAAGAGAAGACACAGACTTAATTCATAAGGATAATGTTATCTGCTGTTTCCTCAGACTTTAGTTCTTATTTTTTTCAGTCAAGCCATAGCAAGACTTGCTACTTTCTTCAACTTTTTACAGTGTGAACTTTTATATCACTTCTTTTGGAGAAAGTTGCAAGACACAGATATGTATGTTTAGGAGTAAGATCAGACTTTCTAAAATAGTGAAACTGCTCAAAGCACTTGTTTTTGAATTGTGCAAATACATGCATTCTTACAAGGCAGGAAGGTAAATATACACACGACTGCATTAATTAAGACAATACTTAGTTTCCTGCAACACAAGGGAATTTTCGTATTTAGACAAAGTCTTTAGCGATGCAGTCTCCCATTGTGTGTACGTGGGTGTGCAAAGCAAAGCAGCAACCCCAATTTCACACAGAAAAGCACAAGGGTTGGTTCTGACCCGGCGAGTGAGCGGAGAAGGAATTAAATAATCCTCTAAACCAAAGCCAGAATCAACTTTCTGATTGCCAAGCTCAGCCGGTCCCACCACCTCACTTTTTGTCAATACAGTCCTGAGCGATCTGAGCAGAAGCCTGACCCACGTGCCTTTTTTCGCAGGGATTGTGCTGTTGAGTATCCTGGGCAGGAAACTGGTTTGATCTGTCGATTTACAAGATTTAAAACACGCACTCATGTTTCCCCCTCCCAGCGCCAACCCGCACCCCTGAGCTGAATCGCCTCCCCGGCGCAGACACGCAATGAGCGCCGCGCTCTCGAGTGTCCGAGCGCTCAGGCTGACACAGGACACACATCCAGGACACACATCCAGAGCTGGCCATGCCACCGCTCCCCACCCCTCAGGCTTTACCTGCTGGTGGGCGAATGGCTGGGGGGGATGTCCTGTACGAAGCTCTGCTCCATGCCCGGGATCCTGGCCGGGCTGTGGGGATGGTAGGCTGTCAGCACCACGCTGCCCGAGTCCTTCATCTCCATGGTCATAGGCACATGTCGGCCGCGCTGCTGGCGACACCGGCGGGAGGGCGAGTGGCCCTGTCACACCATGGCCCGGCCCGGCCCGGCGGCCGCCCGCCACTGCCGGCTGTCAGGAGAGCTGTGGCACCGAGACACGGCTCCTCTCCCTGTCGGCGAAGCTGAATTAGCATAAATTCAAAAACACCGCCCACAAAACAACCCACGGGGAAGTTACTACATTCCTAGGAAAAGAGAAACCTGAGATAATCCTGCCGTTCTGCACGGGACACTTCCTGCCCGAACACTTCCCCCCCGAATAGTTCTCTTACTTTGTTTTGTTTTGTTTTGTTTTGTTTTGTTTCCTTTTTAAAAGCAATTTCGCACTACTCCTCCTGTTCCTGAATTAGTGTTATCTAAGTGAAACGATCTGGTGGACAGCACTACTCAAACACACAAACACATGGTTTGCTGGAGCAGGGAGTCATCCAAGGGATGCAGAAACCGCGCGGGATCTGCTCCGTTTAAATCACCAAGTAGCGGGAGCTGTGATTTCCTACATGCTGGATCATTTCCATGGCGAGGAACTGCACTTGCTGTCTCCTGAAAACAGATTAAGCTTTCATTTTGCCTGATATGGCTGTGTGCATAATTAGAAAAGCAGTGGAAAATGAGTGAATTATTCCTGTTCATCTGGAGCAATCCTGTAAATAAATACACACCAAGATGCTTGATATTTTTTCATGATTTAACTTGATCTCTCTGTGTTAATTTAAGTGCTTTTCACTCAAAAGGAGACAATCAAGAAGAACAATTAGGGTCTCATTCTGAAATAATACTCGGAGAAAACTCTGTAAGACAAAGTGAGAAAGTCTGTAAATCCCTTTATTTTCCTTTGCCACTCCTTCAGGGTTTGTTTGTTTGTTTGTTTGTTTGTTTGTTTGTTTTAAAGATAAGTTTCTGATAAATACAAATTCCTGAAAACTACTGTCCTGCCTATGAAATCATGTCAAGGATGTTCCTATTTTACTCATTGGGCCACAGGTCTCTGAGCACCTTTTGAGCACAGTTGTGAAAGACCAACCTCCGTGCAGCTTTGGCACAGCTGCCAGCAGCATCCTGAGCGCAAGTTCACTCCAAAATGCTTGTTGGTCTCCTCTTTTGTGTCTCCCTTGGGTGAGGTTGCTCTCTCCAGCACTGCTATACAGTGCTATATTACACTGTCAGTCTCTCTGGTGAAGCAGCTCAGGTTTTTAATCATAAAATTATCTTCTCACCTCCACCTTCCCCTGAGCTGGGTACCCTGCCTGGAGGGACACAGTGGTTTCAGTCAAACACGTTGCTGCGACTCATGTAGGCAGTGCCCAAGTTAATTTTAAATTAGCCAGCATAGGACACTGATAAAGGTACACTTGGCAGCACTTCTTGCCAGACTCACCCAGGAAGCATAAATATTTGAATGTACAGAGCCTCTAAGCCTGCTCTTGCTACGCTGTTAAGATATCCTGGCTCAAATATTTTTGGGCCAGGTTGCCCAATGGCTGCTCACATGGCAGCGTGGACGCCTTCTAGGAGCTTCCATGCAGCCACGTACAGGTGACAGAAATGAAGGAGAAGGCTCTGAGTAATCCCTGGAAGCAGCACTAGGACCATAGGCCGTGGTGCCACGAGTGATGGCTGGGGTGAATGCAATGACCAGTGTTCTGTGATTACTGGGGTATTCAGTCCTATCCTGGTTTTACGTTTTCCTTACTAGACCAGAGGGTGAGAAATCCCCGTCTCTGACAAGGGGGAGTAATTGTTAATAGAACTTTATATTTGGCATAAATGCAAATAGATCTTTTGAATATTAATCAACCAATATGTATATATCAAACAGGATCTGAGAGCAAAAAATTATAAATATATGTTATAAAATATTTTCTGATACCCTTTAAGGATGTTCTTCACAATTTACTTGAAGAAATTAAACACCTGAAAAAGCACACATAGTGGAATGAACGAAACACTATCAAAAAGGAAGTGGATGTCCTTTAGGAGATCAGGATGCTGACAAAATATTGGCTTAACTCCAGGAAAGCCTTTTTTCTCTCCTTTCTAAGCACTAGTCTTTTTGCAGTACCATCAGCCAAAAAGTGATGATTATGTATTTTAAGCTATGTATAGATAAAGCCCACAGTAGAAATGCAATATATTTTTAGTATTATTTTTATTTTCTCTTTCCATAATAGAACCCCTCAAACAGCAAAATTACTTAGAAAGTATACAGATACCATCTCAATAGAAAAATACATATAAATAAAGGAGGCCCACACTTATTAAATGGGATTTTCTCTCTAAGAAAAATAAACATGGAAGATTTTATTTGGAGATTTATAAAGTGCTGATGCACAATCTGGAGGCATATATAGAAATGGTAGACTATTTGGCACAAGTAGAAATAGATATTTTGAAAACTGATCAGCCAAAAGACATGTATCAAACCAAGAGCTAAAAATGTTTATATGCATAATTGCTCTTGGGGTTAGACATCTGCATATATTGAAACCCCAAAAATATGCTAAATCAACTAGACATACACATCAGCTTTTAAACAGAGTTTTAACTGGGCTAATGACAAGCCATAAGAAGAGTGTACAAGACAACATGAGCTGGACTCCAGCTCTGAGCAATTCTGTTCCCAATGGAGACGTTATTTTCCTGGTTTATAAAGAAACAAGTAGGAAAGTATTTTAATCCAACATGTTTGTGTTTCTGCAAGATTCCCTTGAATACTAGATTGTGAAATACTCAGGACTGTGACAGTTCTAATTGTTTTTTCAGATACTTAATAGCCTTCTAGACCTTTCAAATACTATGCAAATGACATTTTAGTGAGAAGAAAATATTGTGAGGATCCTTTTGGTGGCAAGCAGTAAAGTGAAGGTGCAGTAAGAGAAGAGTCTGTGGCCCATAATCCCATGAGCAGCTGTCTTCGGTTTTGTAGGCAAGGGGCTTGTGCTTTCAAATTTTAAGTTGTGGTTCTGTCAAGGGGAGTGCTTTGTGCTTTCACACATTTGGCAAAATAATTAATAAAAAATAATTGTATAAGGATTAGTGGGCTTGAACTTGGAGAACTAGGAGTGAGAAATCTTTACTGACCTGTTACTTCAGAAATGTAAGTTAGTGGCAATATACTTGTATGATCAAGCCTTCAGCTCATCTGTTGAAGAATATCTGTGACAGCCATAAACAAGAAATATAAACACACAGAAAGTCATTAGCTCAAGGTTATTGAAATGAAAAAGAAAGTGTTGCTGATATTAATAGCAATTCTGTATCTACATTGAATTAATTAATAACCATTTTGGCGGCAAGATGATGGGCAACATTTGCATTTAGTACCTATGGCTTTGAAAGGAACTCTAATGTTTTCAACAGATTTTAAGCAGCCTTTTCTGGTCAAATTCAAGTGGATGTTGTTACTTAAAGGAATAGGGTTTATCAACTAGGGATTCTTGTCCTGACATGGTCAGAGCATTCACCATTAAGAGTAGATCCTGGAAAGTGAAAGATTCCCCTTTGAACTACAAAACACACAAAAGTCTCTGAGTATTGAATTTCATTGCTCATTTCCAGCTTAAATTACCAAAGCAAAATTAGAAAAAATTGGCAAAACCCAGAAGTTAATTTTGGACCAGATTAACTTCAATTTATGTTAGATTAAGTTTTATAAGGAAGCTGTGTAAAGCACAGCATTTTTCACTGGTTAAATCAAGGGAAAATGAGTGAAATAATACATAGAAAAATGTCATCCTTGCACAGTGTCTAAATTTCCCCAGCCCTCTTGCAATGAATTTTGTATCTCTCTGTGTGAATGTAACCAAATCCAGAACCACTGTATTTCTTCGTCTTTTTTTGGGAGGTTGGTAGGGGGAGCAAGGGGGTGGAGAAGGCAAAGGGTATCTCTTAACTTCTCTCTAATTTTTCATTTGGATGGAAAGTTGTTTGAGGGGTGGGGAGCAGAAAGCCTCGTCATACCGAAGAGTTGGTGTCAGCAGAAAGCACCTGGACAGTCTCAGAACAAGCAGTGACACAACATTGCATAAAAACCAAGTGCAGTGATGTGTGCATCTTCTACTGCTCAGTACCAATTCACATGAAAAAAGTGTCTGAGAAGGGGCTGACTTTGTGTCAGGAGAATTTTCACTGTGTCTTGAGGTCTATTTCCTTTCAGATAATTTTATGTGTCATGAAAGTGGTTTTTAATCTTGGTTTAGCCTCTGAACCTTATATTCTGGTGATACTGGAAGGATTAGGGTCTTTTTTTCTACTATAAAGGAGAGCTGTGCATGTGCCTTGTTATGGTCAGCTGGGAATCTGAGGGCATGGGTGAGACCTACTGCTTTTATAAACACTGTAAAAGTCATAAATCAAAAAATAAAAAAATTCGAGAAAAATCTTTGTTATTCTGCTTTGTCTTTTCAAACTGAGAACAGAAAAAACAGAGACAACTGTCGCTTTTCCTTTAAAAGGAGGCTAATTAACAAGGCTATTTAAGCAAAGAGAATAGAAATCAGGTATTGTGGCAACTGGTGGTTTTGCAAAGGTTTGTAATTAAAGTATAAAACAAACATTCATCTTTGTTAAATATAGCATCACATTTTTTGGTTCCAGACTCAATTTAAATATATATCACATTTTGGTGAATTTTAACATGGTCTTTTAAAAATTGATTTACTATGGATTCTTTTATCCTAAAAAACATACTAAAGGGTAGAAAAAATTATTTAAGCAACTTTGTGTAGTTTCTTGCTTAACAGTCACCCTCATTTATTTTCTAGGATCTCAAAAGTTGCTTCTCCTTAGCCCAGATGAAACTACCCACATATTATTCCCATGTTAATTATGTTCAGAAAAGGAAACTTCCTTAATCTGTCTGCCACAATGGGGCTTTCTGGAGGTTTACTTTCAGAAAAAGCTCATATCCTTTCATTCATCCATGAGGTTTATGCTCCTTCATGACATGTTGATCTAAGCACTTCAGCTGGGACAGCTGACATCCACAGCTGAATGCTGTGGTCTGTTTTTGGTTTTTTGTTTGGTTTTTTTTTCTTTTTTTTTTGTTCTGAGGCAGTAAGTTAAAATTACATGAAGGAGTGGTAATGTGGTTAAGAAAAGTAGCGCTGGGAGAGGCTGGTTTCTTCTTTGAAATGTTCCTCTAAGCACGAGTTGAAAATGGGAATTTGTTTCTGCAGTGTGGAAGGGGAAAAGTAGTCATGGATAGACAGCAATGAGCATTTTCAGTACATATGTCTATGACCTGGTACCTCCGAAAGAGCAGAATTTGGTTAGGTATTTGAATTTGGTATAAGGAAATTGAGTCCTCATATTCAGATGATACTTATTTATAAACATTTATAGATCACACATCATGCTAATAGGTCAGTAATGACAAATGAATTAGGAAGATAGGTTTTTGTATAAAAAGCCAACCAGACAGAGATTTATACCTTTAGTCTTTTAAAAAGTACTGTTTTCTAGGGGCTAGTCAAACTCCTAAGAGGCTGTGTATATATGTACGTATATGTATTTGTTTAGGATATGTATATATATTCACATTGCACCTCCTCACCCTCCACCTTTAACCATCATTTTAACATTTAAGAAAGGTATTCCCTTTTTCTTAGGCTACAAAGGAAAAATGCAATTTCTACAGGTAGTAAAGATTTGTGAATCTACCTTTGCCCTTACAGCAGCACTTGGGTAGTATATCCAAACACAAGGAAAAGACTGTTGCCTCTTTCTTTTTACACTCATAAATCACTTCATATTCATCATTTTGGTAACATTTTTAACCCTGAAACAACCAAATTTACTAGGGATATCTTTATGTAAAACACAGTGTGTATTTCCCCATAACCCTGCCAATGATTTTCCCATTTTGCCGTTTCATAACTGAGCTTTTTTCCCAGGCAGTAGCAGTAGACCCCAGCTCTGCTGGTGTATATGAAAGCTGTACTGAGCTCTGTGTTCACCAGAGGACAGCTCTGTTAATTAAACCATTCTTTGAGCTATGTTCTGAGGAATATGTGAGAAACTTGATGAAGCAAGGTAGAAAGGTGTTAACAGGAACCACTAATGTTCCTTGGGCACATAGCCAGACATGTCAATATCAGCTGCCTTGTTTTGATTGCATTCTACTCCTTTTCAAGAGTAATCAAGAGCTGTGGTTTTTTTAAATTACAGAGTCGAATAGCATGATTAACTGGATTTTTCACATCTGCATACAAGGGGTATTTACCTCAAATTCACCTTTCCATCTATAGAAGAGGGGTGTATTTCAAAAAGCATATCTTACATCTTCATCCTGCTTTCGCATTCTGTGTCTTGATGACTTGAATTCCCGGTTACTAAACTGTTGCCTTCTCTATGCAAAAGTGAAGAAAGTACTCTTCTCATCTGCTAATTATAGAACTGACATATCACCACAGAAATAGTTATTAAGGTTGTCAGAGGAAATCTTATTCTTGTGTTGGTCATGCAGGAGTGATATCTCAGAACTTCCCTGCAATACCTGTGTTAGGTAAGTTATTGCACAATGAAGTGAGTTAGATTCAAAGGGGATTTTGCTTTTTTGATAGAGACATTTTTATAAGTTAGTAACTTTAAATTCATATCTGCTGCAAAGGTAAATTGATATATGGTGATTTACAGCAGCTCTAAAGATTTTCAGTAAGAGGAAGCACAAATAAACCAAATTAAAATCTCTATAAGTAAATTTAATGCTATAATTTACTTGAAGGTTTGTTACAAATTTAAACCCTAATTGTGTAATTTAAGAGCAGTAGGAAGAGGATGCTTTCAAATTTAAAATAAAACAGACTAAATATACCTAAATAAATTTAATATGCAGCAGAAAAGCACTGACTGGCACCATTATTGCTATAAATGTATTTTCATTTTGAAATCATGTTATCAAAGGCCGGCATTCACTTTATAACATTAAAGATACCTGTGGGAAAGGCATGTTTCATAAACCCCTCTATGAACACACTGTGTTTTAGGAATAGAGACATTGAAACACCAGCTAGCTGGAAAGAAGACTGACCTGGTAGAGAAGGGAGCTTTTCACAAAAACTCAGGGAAAAAAAAGGTTGTATCGTGTTTGGAAAAAGGGGCAGGCAACTCAGGAAATGTTTAAGGATGTCATTAGTTCATGCAGAAAGAAAATTAGAGGCAAAATCTCAATTAGAACCGAATCTGACCAATTATATAAAGGATAATAAAAAGTGGTTTTATAAATACAAAAATTTATTTACAAAAATGGAAATGCAGTGAAAATATTTCTTTAAGTGCTCTTAAACACTCATTCATGCCACAACTATCTGAAAGTAGATTGTAGTCAAGTAGGGATCAGCTTCCCCCAGGCATCCAGGGAAAGGACAAGGGGGCATAGCCTTAAGTTGTGCCAGGGGAGGTTAGGTTGGACATTAAGAAGAAATTCTTTACAAAAAGGGTGATTAGACTTTGGAATGGGCTGCCCAGGGAGGTGATGGGGTCACTGTCCGCAGGGGTGTTTAAGAAAAGACTGAACTTAGTGCACTGGTCCAGTTGGCATGGGTGGTGTTCTGTCATAAATTGGACTTGATGATCTCAGAGGTCTTTTCCAGCCTAACTGAGTCTGTTATTCTGTCATGCTGTAACTGCCTTTTGCAGGAAAATGCTGGGTGCTAGACATAACTATAGAGGGAACTGCCTGACTCACGGTCCTGTGCCCTAATCACATGTTTGGTTGCAGCTTAATTAATTGTTGGACTCCTGGATGCTGAGAATTTTAAACTTTCTGTGCCGAAAGGCACAGACTCACAAGAGAGCACTGCATTTGACCTGAGGCTGTGGAGAAGACTTCCAAAATTGATTAATAGCACTGGGATTATGGGTGTGTAGTTGATTAGAAGTGTGTAATATCACAGGGTGGAAAACTTAGAGTTTAGGGTTTTAGAATATAGAAATAAATATGAAGCAATATGGAGGTTTTAGGATGGAGGCAGGTTGTTCTTTACCTTCTTCTTTGTTCTTCTTCATGGGTTTGGGTGATGTTTTGTAATTAGATAGAAAAGTCTGCATTACAGGCTTCAAGGGATCAGTTATTCGGTTAAAAGGGAAAATAATCTAGGTGTCATTTCTTAATTGGATAGATTAGTCTTAAAAGACCTTGTAACAAAGAGATAGTTGGCCATTTTGTGCCTTGCTAATGAAAGACTGCAGAACTCATGGCTGTGAGGCTGTAACATTGATAAGAAATAATAAACACCTGAGTCCAAACATGAACTACCATCTTAAATGCCTTCAATCCTGACCTCGACAGAGGTAGAAAAAACAAGCAGAGAACCCACAATTAATCAACAGTTTGGGGAGTACTTTTGTAAAGGAATGAGTAAAAAAGGTAATACATTTAATCAGCCTCAGAAACAGAATCACAACAGGAGATATGGAGAGCTTACCATGTGAGCTATGGAAATGGCACATTCTTCCCTGGAAGTGGCTAGTTAGAGATTTATTCTCTGCAGTGAGTGTGTGCCAATTTTGGTGGGGTATCTAGGGAGACTTGACGGCTTTCCACCTAATGGTTATTAAATCATACAGATTAGCCCTAAGTGAAAACATATACATGAACACAACTTTGCTAAATATATCAACAGTCATGTTTTTATGCTACTTTTATGTCACGGTATTGAACACTATGAACTTAAATATGTTTTAGAAGCACTACAAATAAATTTTCTCCCTGCTGCAAGGAGGTGGTTGCATCACCATAGTGAGCTAAATGAGTTATCATAATCGGGGGGTAAACAGAAGGGAATTTTGCAATACCAAGGATCTGGGAATTACTGGCTAAGGAGATTGCAAAGAACATTTTAGATTTTTTTTGCTTAACAAGGTCAGGCATGAGTTTCTCCCTCTGTGATACTGGCACAAGGAATTCTGTTTCATAGTTGGAAGTTTTATCAGAGTTTAAGAACATGGAAATTTCCCATTATATTTTGTCATTGTACATTGTTCATGGAAAAATAAGCACTCTCAGGGTTATTGTGTCAATTTTGTTAGTGTAAATTGCTAGCCTTCTCAAAACAACAGAAAAAAAATTGCAGTTATTCTAAAGGCATTTCTGCTAGAGGGAAAAAAAGTAGCATGTAGCCATTATTTATTTGTTTCATTTGTTATTTTATTATTCACATGTTTTTTTATCTGTGGCCTCAATAGGCTACAATCCATGGTATGCAGCCCTATCAAAACAAAACAAAGTCCCACCAGGGATGAAATAGATACATTTTCTCCAGATTAATTTAATAGATGAATGTTTCACACAATACGGGAGCCAAGACTGCAGATGAATTGTTTTTGGTTTGGAACTTCAGGGAACAGATGGGGAAGTGGCAGCATTAATGTACCTTAATGGATCCGCAGGACCGTGTTTATAATTTGGCTTCAGTTCAGAATTTCTTTTTCTCTTTTATTTTTCTCTCTTCTTTTTTTTTTTTTTTCCTTTATTTTTTTTCCCCAGTGGCTGTGCTCTGCTGCATTACTTCAGAAACTTTTCCTCTTCTTTTTTCTGCTGCACTTTCCCCCACTTTTGATCCTACCTTTGTTGTTGTGATTACAGGTTTCAGACTCAAAAAGCACGGAGAGTCTCCAGCTTTTTTTCCAAAGTGAGTACCATATGGGGACATGCTGAAGGGAATAGATAGAAATTGGCCTCTGCCCTAGGAACTGGGAGTATTGGGGAGTACGTGGAGAAGAGCCTTCAGGGCTCAGCTCATGTGCTCTTCCTAACCAGCATCTCCTATTGCTGTTGTTGGAGACAGGGGATTGAGACAGATGGACCGCAGACCTGACCTTCTGATTCTACAGGGAGTTTCCTGTGGTCCTGAGTTCACAGAATGAGTTTTTATTAACTCTTATTTACTTATTATTTAAAGTATTCTTATTGTTTACCCTTGTCTGCTGTCAGTCCACATGGCGCACAGTAAGGCTTGGCTTACTTTTAAACACAAGATGAAAAATCTGTGGGCTGCTACTGAGAGTGATGTCTTTTTGTATATGTCTTCTGCATGGTATTTGCACATAGCTTTCTTCTATTTCTTGCAAACAGCAGCTTCGTTATGTCTTTCCAGTTGTTTTGCTCTCTGACATTTCATTCTTTCCTACCTTCTACTGAACTGGAAAACAAAACACAAAATTATATTAAACTTTGAAAGAAAGAGAGAAAGTCAAAATTTATTAAATATAGTTCAGCATGAATGAAATAAGGAGAAAGAAGCTATTTATAAAATAAATACAGGTACTGGTAAATTGGGAGTGTTTTGTCCACCTCAAAGTCTTATCATTTGATGAATGAGATACTACAGATCTTTTTATACACGAAAACACATTTCTTGTATAATCATGCCAAGCATGCATGTCTCAGCAAAGATTTAATGATGAAGGTATGTGTATTCATCTGAATTACAGAAAACACAATTTTATTTAGTCATCCAAGTCTTTACTCAGCAACCAAACTGGCATGTCAAATCTGGCATTTGCTTGCATAAAAGAGATAAACAAAATGCTGAGTAAACCTCATTTTCCTGGGAAATTACTGGTGGTGCAACAAACAAAAAGTCTTTCACACAGAATGCAAGGCCACGCGTTTTCCTGGGTGATGCATTGTGCCCAAAGTGTGTCTCACTCTTTCTCAAAAAAAGAGCTATAAATAGGCAGGCACTTTGTGCCATTTTAATGCTGAGTATTACACATTCCAGCAACTTCAGTTTTTCACTGGTTATTTTTATTTTCCTTTGTTTGATTGAGCAAGTGAACCCAGCCTACTGAAATGCCACCCACTCCTTGAAAGAAAAATCTAGGAATAACCTGAAAGGTCACGAAAGAGCTCAACCTAGAAATATGCTTGAAACAAGGAGTAGAGTGCAGAAAACTAAATGAGAAGGCTGATCTGGATATAGTGAGTATTTTGTTTCAAAACAGCAATGAACTTTTGTCTGAAAATCACTGACTTTATTACAAATCCCAGTCCCTAGCAAGGAACATCAGTAGGGTTGAAGAGATTTCTGTAGCAAGTCAGAAGGCTGCCTGAAAAATATTACTTCTTTTTTTATTTTTAATTTTTATTTTATAGGGCCCCCATTGTTTCTATACCCTGGGATCCGGCACTCAGAAAGCCAGTCATTTCCTCTGAACACTATTAGAAAACACCAGGAATGATATGGAACAATAATGTTCCTTAAAAAGAGTTTCACTTCATGGGAGAATTACTTCAATATGAAGACTTGTTTATAACACATTACAGTGACTTCCTCACCCTATTATCATTAGCAATACAGCCTTAAAGTTGCAATTACTATCCTGCTAATGAAAAATTCCCAAATCTGCATTCATGTCAGCTATGGTTTCCTGGATGCCCTCTGAGTTAGCAGATCTTGGTGCAATGCAAAGCCTTTAGTGTTCTTCTGACTGCTGAAACCTGTGCTGGACCTGAGCTCTGGTGTCCACCTGAGCCTTGTGTTACCTATTTAGGCAGACTAGAATCTGTCTGCTTGGGAATACCACACCCCTTGATGGCAGCCCATGACAAAGTGTTGTTCCTGTTTTAGAGAAAACCACCAGCAGACCCATCAGCTTCATCTTGGGCTCTTTGTTAATGGTAGATGTATAGAAACAGAAAGTCAGGAAAGCTGCATCGTGCTGGGGCAGTTGTGAATGCAACCATGAAACTGAGTGTTTTTGGAGGGTGCACATGATGTTTTTATGGTTTATTATCTGCTGTTTTGTCCAACCTGGTCTATGAGAGTACTCTAGAGGATAAACACTCAGCAAAGCTGACCTTGAGCTAACAATAAATACAATGGATTTACTGTCACTCTTCGGAGGATTTGAAAGTTTAGTAATGAATTATAGAAAACTCATATTCCTGGGAAACATTGTCTATGTGGGATCATAACTATTCCATAAACTGGCAGGCTGTGATCCTTGTGGTCTCGTATTGATGTCACTGCAGGTTTATTCTGGGCTAAACTTCTCTGACCAAAATAGAAGTACTCCTTATTTATGCCACTGCAAACTGTGTTAGCACAAATGGTTGACCAAAGCAACTGCTCCAGCTTGTAACGTCTGGGTTAGGACAAGTGCTAGGAGTTGTGACTCTGAGGTTCTGCCCTGCTCAAGAAAAGGCTCATTTCCAGAAAACTTTATTGCCCTAAACTTCTGCTGCAGTTTTGGTCCTTCATCAGACCACTCTTCTAGCCCCTTGGCCCTCTAACATCTCTCCAATAATTCTTTGAACCCCATATACAAGGTTGCAGATTGGTTATGTCATTTTAGTTCTTAATTTTCTCTCTGGGCTGAATATTGTTTGGGACAGTTCTCTTTGGGAAAATAGGGAAAGGTCAGTTTGAGGACCCCCAAAGAACATCAAAGTGGTAGTGCATATACAGCAAACAATACAGGACACTGAACATGTGGACTTAAGCAGAGGAAAAGGCTTGACCATTACTGGGTTTCCTGTGCTGCAGCCTGTGCTCTTGGTAACGGCTGTCTATGGGAGCCAAATTTTCTTTCATAAGCTGATGAAAATGGGTATTTGTGCTTGCAGTAGCTAGGAGGGCAGCCATCCAAATGTGGTCTGCTCTGTAACACACACAGGGCTGCCTCTGCAGTGGCAGCAGCCCTTGATGCTGCAGATACTTTGATCATTCGCCCTTTACTATTCAACTTAACTCCTATTCTCATTGTTTGTCTGAGAACTGCATCCTCATTTAGAATGCAAAATTATTGCAGTCTGTGTGCTGAAAATAAGTTGAAAATTATATTCTTTATTTTAAGGATAAAGAATATAATTTAAAAAAAATTTTCATGATCCAGAATAGCTACTGAGATCTTCTTACTTTGCAATTACTGCACCAGCCAAGAGAGATTGTCTCCATCAAATCACTCAATAAAATGACTTTCTGTCAGAGAAACCTACTTACCTGACTTTGTGGAGAGGATCAAAGGGATTTCTTGCTGCAAATAGTGTGCTGATTCTATTGGAATACAGTGTAATTATAATACATATGTGCCATTTTAAGTTGCAAGCAATCCCCTAAAGGGCTTTATAGTGTTCTGCTTCATTGTGCAACAAAAGTGCAAAGAAGGAGGCACAGTTCCCAGAATTGGTATATAGTCCCCAGCTTTGGCTCTCTGACTGCTGTGAATGATGAATTTTGTGTTACTGTTTTTGAGACCAGTACTACTAACATATTTTTTAGGAAAGGGTTAGACTGGTAGCAGTTATCATAATTATGTAAAAAAAATCCATGAGTTTTGGAACTTGGCTCCAAGAGCAAAGTATGCCCTTTCACCTGGACTATACAACTAGGAAACAGGGAAGGCAGCATAAGAAATGTTTAGCACAAGGACAGGAAAAGCCTGTCCGACTCAATATGCCCGGTATTTTCTTTCTGCCCTTGTTTATCTGAAACTCACTTCCCTTCTTTTTTCTCTCTGCTCCTCTAACTCATTCTGAACTTGTCTTTAATTTCCAGCACTTTTTCCATTAGCACTATATAAAGTCTTGGCATAAAGTAGTTGTGATGGCAACATTTCCCACTTTCTTCTGTTTTGAACTTGGGGAAGCTCTAATCTCTTTGCCTGCAGTTTTAAAGGCCAGTGCAGACAGTGAGCACACAGCTTTCGTCTGATAGCTGTGTATGCTTTACAACTTTGCTGAGTTTTAAAATTCTTATGCCAATTTAGATTAGCCTGAAAACTGCTCTTATAAACTTTTAGATAAGCACAGTTATCATGCTTTTTGACTAGTTTGGCATGAAGATGTCTCATCAGTCTTTCTTTTCCCATTTAATCATTGTCAGGACAAGGGAATATTGGAAGAAATCTGTAAGTTCCCTTAGTCCGTTAGTTTTTAATCAACTTGGAAACAGCTCTCATATTGCATGAGGCAGGTAAATTTTTGGCAGTTGTGAGTGACAAAGTGGATATACTGCTTCAGAAACTGTCCCCATTGATTTATAAAAGTCTCATTCAAGCTACACATGCCTCAAAAATTTCAGAATGTTTAAAGCTTATACTTCAACTAACCCTGCCATATGTAACAATCTCTTTTCTTCCTTAAAAATAGCTATACATCATTCTCTTTTGTTCTTTGAGAAATTATTTTTATTCCACTCTAGCTCTTAGTCTTTCTTCTATACCTTTTATCCAGTAATCTTTGATGTGAAGCAGTGCTAAGTATCCTCTCAAAATCAAATTAAATTAGAATTCCCTTTACAGTAACATAGCAGTAACATCTTCAAAGAATTCTAACAAGTTAGTTAAAGTTGAATACTTTTGCTTCAATATAGTCCAAATATTTTGAGATGTTATCCCTCTAACAGAGAGATCTTTTAAATAGCTTTCAATAAATTCTTAAAACAGTCTTCAAAAGTTACTGGATCCCCATTGCATCCCATCTCTCCCACCTAACATTTTTATAATTGACCTTAAATTATGTATCTTTGTTGTTTTACACAAGGATCCTGATAAGATACTGAACTTTGTATAAAACATAAAGTGAAATATATGTTCAAAGGTTTCATTCTCTTTCTCCTCTTATCTACATGGACATTACTTTGATTAAATGAAATTATACCAACTAATTACATTATATACCTAACAGAATATATTCTTTCCTCTATGACTTTGAAGAATGATTGCTAGTGAGAACAGTTTGTTTTGTGTTTCCTGTACAAAGAATGGAACCATAATATAGACTTAATAATTCTGTTGTATTTAACCCCATATGAACTTGTCACTTTTCAAAATTCCAGTCAATATGTGATAGATGGACAGATAGATAGATAGATATATGATAGGTGGAACAAGAATATTTTGATTCATAGAAGGTCTTAGTATTGAAAGCTATCCTGTCACTTATGATGGATTAGCTTTAATGTAATCTTAAAAATATAATGTAATCCTAAAAATAATTTCTGGGTTTTGTTTTAGGTTTTTTTCCTTAATGTTCTGGAAATGCCAGCTTGCCAATGCCTGTTCCACTTGCATAGCTATAAGCATACCTTAAGCTTACAATGGAATAATTTAATTTTTTCTTAGTAATTTGACTGGTGCTTGCAAAGTACCTTCTCAATACCTGTCTCTCCTGAGCTGAAGGACTGCCTGGGCTTAT